AAGGTTGCTGGTTCAAGTCCCGTGGCTGGCAGAGGAATCCTCCTCCGTTGGGCCCCTGAGCAAGGCCCTTCACCCCAACTGCTCCAGGGGCGCAGTATAAATGGCTGACCCTGCGCTCTGACCCCAAGCTTCTCTCTCCCCATCTATGTGCCTGTGTGTCTCATGGAGAGCAAGTCAGGTTATACAAAAAGACAAATTCCTAAAGCAAGAAATTGTATATGGCCAATGAAGAGTTCTTATCTAAATTAAAGGAAGTATTGTTCATTCTAAATCGCTGAACATGGCCCTGCGCTTCGGGCAATTTAGTCTATTTTAATGTAAATTAGAGGTTTTAAAAGTTACTGTGTTTTACTTTTATTGTTGGAAATGCACTCATCAATGCTGATTATTTCTAAACCCGAAATATGAAAATATCGCTGCAGTTCCCCTTTAATTGATAGAAAACAGGTGAGAAAAATTACCTATGCTGACATCTTGTGGTTACAAGTGGTAATTCATGTCCCAAGTGCCTGGAGTGTGTAGCATTAGAGTTCAGATGTGTGTAGGCAATCTGACCACTAAATCCCTAGTACATCCTACCTCTGGGCAGGGCAGGTTTTTAAAGTTGCCCTTAAGAGTTCAGAAATCTGTACGTTCATTAAATTAGCTCATCAATGTGAATTCCATGTTAAGACATAAAAAGAAAGAAAAACAAAATTGGGGCCGTGGAGCCTCTGAGGTGTGTGGTGGAGGAGAGAGAAGTAAGATAAACAGTTGAATTTTATTTTCACTGACTGTCCAGTAATGTTAATGGGCTCTGAATGGGGCAGATATAGTTAACAGATGATCAATGTATATTTGCTATACAAGCAATAGTTTTAATTCAGAGAAGATGTAATTGATGGATATATTGATGGATGCATTACATAATCTTGATTTGACATCCGTTTCAATCCCATTCTATCTATAAAAATCCAGAGTCCAGATGGTTTTCATTTTTTTCCTGAATTCTGGAATCTTTTTACATAGTTTGTCATTAAAGGCGAACTGTATTCTCTATTTCTCAGACCAATGATTAAATTTTGAGAACAAAATAAATTAATTGACTGTATAGAAAAAATGTACGAATTTTGAATTTAGCAGAAAATCCTGAACTTTGTGAAAGTTCAGTAATTCGCCATGTTGTCACAAACCCCTGGTCTCATCACAGGTGAAACCAAGAGTTTGCACAAATTGCAACTTGAAACGGCCCTTCCTGCTCACTAGTCACTGTAATGATAAATGTAATGTGATAGATGAGTGAATAAGTACAGGTTGTGCAGAAGACATTTCACCGCAGAAATTGTCCAACATGATCTGCATGCAGAGTTAACAAGTAAGTAGTATTTGTCAGCAAAACCATCTGGAAGTCAAGAGCAATATTTCTGTTTGATTAAAAGAGATGTATTCACAAGTCTGCTTGTTTACAGCATAATAGGGAGTTTTCTGGGAGTTTTCTTGCCTCGTTATGAATCGCAGGACATGGCGCATACCTGGAAATGTAATCTATTTTATTATTTTATTAGGTTTTTACTGTGTTCATTTTACTTTTATTGTGGGTTCAAATTAACAATTATTGCTTACACTTATGTAGCTCCACTCCACTCCACTCAAAGCGCTTTACAGGTAATGGGGATCCCCTCCACTACCACCAGTGTGCAGCCCCACCTGGATGATGCGACGGCAGCCATAGTGCGCCAGAACGCTCCCCACACACCAGCTACCAGTGGGGAGGAGAGCAGAGTAATGAAGCCAGTTCATAGATGGGGATTATTAGGAGGCCATGATTGATAAGGGCCAATTGGAAATTTGGCCAGGATGCCGGGGTTACACACCTACTCTTTTCGAGAAACACCCTGGGATTTTTAATGACCACAGAGAGTCAGGACCTCGATTTTACATCTCATCCGAAGGACGGCGCCTGTTTACAGTATAGTTTCCCCGTCACTATACTGGGGCATTAGCACCCCTGCTGGCCCCACTAACACTACTAACCAGCAGCAACCTTAGTTTTTCCCAGGAGGTCTCCCATCCAGGCTCACACCCGCTGAGCTTCAGTGGGCTGCCAGATGTGAGTTGCAAGGTGATATAGCTGCTGGCTGTATATAAATATAAAAATAACATTGCAGTTCTCTTTCAAGACATAATGACTATAACCACTCTGTAATCAACTTGGTTGTAACTGAGAAATCTTGAGTAGTTTTTTAAGTATCTTTTAATCTTATCTTTTAAAATCAGTCAGAGAAGAGTATTTAATAAGTTAGATATTTGCAAATGAAAAAAAAAACAGTTTTGAGCACTTCTTTATTACAGTCTCTGTGTGTGGAAGTGGAAATTAAAATGTGCTCTCATAGGGATTCAGGATGTGTGTTGTATTTGCGGATTATAAAGCAAAATGTGTTATTGAGGTTCACCAATGTTTTTAGCAAGTAAAGTATCAGCTGAACTAATAGGAGAGAATAGACCAGTTCTAGCAGAATGCAGAAAGTCTGAAACCCGTTTGGAGTTCCTGGCATTATGGGCTGCTGACATGTTCAGGAGAGGGACGGCTGTAAAAACACTTTTACTCTGTTCCGTTCCGCAGGCGATGACTCTCAGCCAGAAGGTGGCCAGCCTTGAGAGCCAGCTGGAGAGACTGAAGAGAGAGAAGAGCTCTCTGTCCAGCCAGCTGGAGGAGGCACAGCAGCAGCTCAACTCCCAGGAGACCGACATCAGCAAGGTACACCTGAAAGGGTGCGAGGGTAGTGGCAGCCAGGTGCTGAAGGTCAGGAAGCTTCATGCGCGCTGCGTCCTGCAGTGTTGGTGATAGAGGGCAGAGAGTCTGTGCAGGACGTCCCGAGGGGTTCTCCCTGTGACGACAGAGGACAGTGTGGAAGTGACACCTGACTAAACAGACATTTCCATCCATCTTGGATGCACGCGGATGTCGCAACACAGAAAACTACACTTTATGTTATACATTAAATTATCATAAACAACATATTTTCAATAATTTCTCAAAATATCGCACATGCAGGTAATCTCTAGTAATCTCTAAACCCAGCACTGAAACAATTTTTTTAAAAAAGAACAAATTAAAGACACAGCACTGACTTCAGGAATAAACAAACACACAGCCCCACCAAGTCGTTTGCATCAACTTTCAGCAGCAAAATCAAAACACAGCACAACAAACAATCAGCAGCAAGACCAGCTTTCCTTTAAAATGGTGTATTTCAAATCCCAGTCCAAATCCCAGTATATTACAAATCCCAATGCAATCAAGACCAATTTCCTGATAACATAGTATAATGAGGCTGTGTCTCCATGTACCACAGACTGCTAATTTGCCACAGTAAAAATATAATCGCAAATATAAAAAATCCAATGTCTTTACTGTGAAGCCGTACTATGTAGAATTTTTCAGTATAGAAGAGATGCATCCTAATCAGAACACAGACTGATGGACAAGCATCCTGACGCAGAATTAAAAAAGAGCGTTCAACTTTTGTTGTGAATTTAGCTGCTCTGACTGGGGAAGCCTGCTGTCACTCAATGAAATCTGACCATTTTGAGATTTAGGGGAAGTTTATAGTTGTCCAAATAACAGTTTTCTTTTTTCCCTTTGTCTGTCTGCCTGCCAAGTGAAGTTCAAACAAACTGGAACTTTAATTCTTCTTTTCATATTTACTATAATTTTATATTTTATTAAGAAGGCTAAGAAAACCATGTCAGTATCTGGCTTTATAAAATCTCAGGCAGAATGTTTCTGCCTGTGCTCTATTAGTCTGAAAATCTTTATCCAAAGTAGCAGGCATACTGGAGAGTCCCTGGAAAAAATCTGTCACAATTTCAAAAGATGATTTTCCACATAAGAAATCAAAAGGCATTTTTTAGTTTTTTTCTCAGTTTTTTTCCAAAAAGATTTTTCTTTCTAATTTGTGTACTGAGTTAGACAGAGAAATAATCCGGTGGTTCGGACTTGATGCCCAATGGGTTCCCTTCAATTCAAGCCCTGAAGCAGGCCTGTACTGTCTGTACTTTCCAAGTCAATGCTAGATGCATTGCCAAGGGCACATTCCCCTAGGCAGAAATGGCCTCTGAGTTTGAATTTAAAAAAGTAAGATCTTTCAGTAATCTAATAAATTGAAACATACAAATATTTATACTTTATTTTGTTCTAATAATGTTCCAGCTCTGACCAGGGAAAGAAATTCATTATCACTTTATATCTGAAAGACTTATTGCTTACTGTCATACAGTAAACCAACTCAAGATGGCACCAAACATCCATCATTTATTTGAATGTATTTTTTAGAGAGGGTTGTTATCAGATTCTCTGAGCTTGAGGACTCAGGAAAAAGATGAACGAAGATCAGGAAAAAGATGAATGGAGTACTGCACTGTGTGTTTTGATGTAAATGCTTGATTTTTGGTGAGCTTGTTCTGCACTAGAAGAACAGCATCAGAGAGCGTGGTGTATTTTAATTGCAGTGCAGTTTAACTGTTCACTCAGAATAGACACACACTTTACAATCTAAATCATAAAAAGTGACAGCATTAATTACATGTTTGATGTTTGTAATATGTTCAGTATAAATAATAACAAGCTGGTATCTCCACTGAAACTTGACCACCTGAAACGGGTTAGAAAATTATTTCTTATGGTGCTTTGGGCTTATGGGAAAAAAAGGCCAATTAGCGAAGAACATAAAAAGGGCTATCCAGAGGCCATTTAGAACATTTAATCTTTTTGATTGTTATTAGCTACTTGATCCAAGGACCTCATCCAGCTCTTTCTTGAAGAAGTCAGTACCTTGGCCTTTTAGATCGTGGCTGGGTAGTTTTACCCTTTGTGTAAAGAAGTGATTCCTGGTCTCAATTTGAAATGTACTTTCCTGTATAGTTTCTGCACGTGTCATCTAATCTGTGTAGGACACAAGTGGAAACTTGAGAATCACAACTGCTCTAAATAACTCAAATCTTATTATCATTGACAGCAATGGGATACTATCAGAATTCATAGTAGAAAAACATGCATTTCAATAACAAATACGCATTTGCACAGATTTGCAACCAAAAATAATTCAAGAAATACAGCTGTGAAATGCACACCCTAAAGACTGAAAAAAACACTTTACAATAATTCACAGTAGCTTTTATTTGCGCTGCCTTGGAATACTTATTCATGGCCTCTGCACAGTCCTTATTTTAGAGCAGCCAGTACGCACTGAGAGACATCTGAAAGTTAGATTTTTGAGGGAAACGCTTTTAACATGAACAGCATTACAGGGGAGATCCTTGAAGGCGTTTCGCAGGCTGCCAGTGTAACAGGCCACACCAGTGACCTCTTGTGGCTGACTGGTGCCTTGGAACCTTGTTCTCCACCTGAGCTCTGCAGCCGGCGCTGTGGACCTGCGTCGTGAGCTAACAGGACTGCTCTCTGCGGATCCGGGCCTGTCGCCTTCCTCCCTCCTGTGTTGTTATGAGGCTTATTGCAGGGTGCCAAGTTGATTAACAGTTGGCAATTGGGGGTATGAGGGGGAAAAAACGCACATCTGAGCCAAATTCCGAACAAGGTAAATCGGAAAACAGTGCTGCGGTGTTACATGGAGTGCTGCTCCCCGTCTCCAGGTCTGCGGCGAGCTGCGGTACCAGCTGGACCAGACCCGGCTGCAGAGGGGCGAGGCGGAGCGGGAGCTGCAGGAGTACCGGATCAGAACCGCCCGGGAGCTGGAGCTGGCAGCACAGGTAGGGCGCTGCGCAGGAGGGGCTCGCCGAGCCTTCTGGGTCCAGGCCCTGCTGAGGGCGACGGTCCGGAGAGCACAGCCCGAGGAAGAGACGCTCAAGCTCGGAGGTCATTCACAATAGCGACCCTGAACCCAAAGTGTGTAACATGAAAACTAATTAGCAGCTCCTTGCATTTAGGTGGAACTTTCCATCCCAAAGGACTGCAAAATGTTTTGCACACAGGACTGGCGCTAATTCGTCTCCACCTGAAGTGCAGCCCCACCTGTGACACACAGCAGATCAGGAGCTTCACTGATTGAATGAACTGGGACCATTAGAGAGGCCGGTTTGTACGCAGTGTTGGAATGGGAGTAGATACGAACAAAGTATTTATCGACAACCAGATGACCTTTAGACCAATATAATTTGCAAAACGGTAAAGTAACAGCCTTATTGAAAATGACCTAATTAAACTTGCTGTCTTGTCTTCACAGCTTTGCAGAATCAAAATAATTTAGTTTTGTCTGCTAATTGAACATGGTTATGCAAGGTCTCCAATGTGCAGTGTATTTTTTTCCATTGCCTTTCTAGAAAACAAGATAGCAACAAATAAACGTGACTGTGTTCACAAGTAACGCTTGACTGGGATCTGGGACTTGTGAAAGGACTTGGGCTTGATTTGTTTGAGTTTTGTAAACCCAGCAGAAGGCCTTGATAACCATACAGTCAAGGACAGACTGATTTGAGCTCCACGCTTAGCTGCTGCCGTTATTGCTGTTGTGGCGGCTTTAAACGCACCCGACCAGCTCCTCCCCGGAGCGGGACTGCTGGAGTTCTGATTTTCCCGCCGCCCCTCTGTCCCGCAGGAGGCGGAGAAGTGGCGGCTGGAGCTGAGCGCGTGCCGGCAGCGTCTGGAAGGGGCCCAGCAGGACGCGAGCCGTGCCAAGGCGGAGGCGCTCAGCCTGGCGGAGCGGCTGGGCAGATCCCAGCACCAACTGCACCTCACCAGGTACCCCTAATCCTATTACATGCCACAACACCGCTCCATTCCGCTGCTGTCCTGGCCGGGCGCTGCCGCTCGGTTTGTTAGCGGAGAGAGAGGATAGCCCCTTCCCCGGATTAACCCTGTCGCTGCCCTGCCTCTTCCATGGACAACGAGCGCCGTGGTGTTCGCCTGCCCGCCGCTATGTCAATCAAACTCCGTGGGTCCGTACGATAGCCCATATGATAATTCTTCATTTGCATTCCAAGGACTTAACACTTTAGTTTTTAGCGCAATTCACCACCAGAGTCACTGAAAGGCTGTTGAATGATGCAGTTTATAGCAGTTCAATTAAAGCAGTTTGCACTGGAAAACAGGATTTTGCTGTGTCTGTTCATACACATAGGAGTCCCTCTCGAAACATGCTCATTTACTTGTTCGAGATCAGCATCTCATTAAATCTATAGAAATTCACAAGTATTCAAGATGTTTATGTCTTCCTATCCCCCAAATAATGGAATACTTGTGAGTAGATTTTAACTACATTGTTATATTTTGAGGTGTTGTTAGCTGGGTTCTCCTGAATATTTCCTTAAACACATTTTGCTTTAAAATGTCTGTTTTATTCTGGGCATCGCACACATTGCCCAGGCTGATTTTTTTCCCCTTGTTATGCAAATTATATTTTCATCAGTACTCCTGAAATTGCTCGGGATTCATTTTGTTTTTGTTCAGAATACCCTGAAAAGGTTAGGATGCATACAGTGTATTTTCTTGAAAGCCTGATGTGACACGTCTTGCTTTGTTTCAATCTGCTGAATGCAGAAGCTCTTGGTCAGCTCCAGATCGGCATTGTTGGCACCTTCTGGTGCCCTGCGTCCGTCTGCATAGCAGGTGTGGCCCCGCGATTTTCCATTCTCAGCCCTGGACTGGCCTGCGGTCCGGTCTCCCTGCTCGTATAACTCACGGTCCCCCTGACAGCCTGCCAGCAAAGGTGCCAATTAGTGCCAGATGTGCGGCTTTCTGAAAGAAGAGCGGGTTGAAATCATCACCGCTCACCACCTCAGTTCCATCTGCCACAGGGATTCAGGCAGGGTTTCCAACTTAGTCCTCCTCGTATCCATCAGCAGATGACGAGATGACGCTGGTTTAATACTCACCCCTTGTCCCCCTGGGGAAACAGTCAGTAAACTTGCAGCCCCCCCCAGCACCTCCTCCGTTGGACTGAGTCTTTGAAAGCAGCCGAGAATCATGCAAATGACCAGGCTTCCTTTTAGCCGACATTGATTCCGACTTGAGTCAACCTATACATCAGCTTTAATTTTTTAAAGCTTTGCTAAGTCTTTGCTAGGTGCAACTTGAACAAATTAAAATAGTCCGATGTGTATATTTACAATTCTCTTTTCTTGTTGTGTGTTCCCTTAATTCCTGCCTGTCTTTGCCGTTAGTTGCACCCAAGCACTGGCATCCTCAGAATCCCAGTATGCTGTAGTTTTTGCGTTGGGTGCTCTGGTGCAGTCTTAGGCTAGCTGGTGCCCTTAGCAGACGTGTGCTTGATAAGAATGAGATATGCTGCCCTTCCAAGGCCTTTGCTCAGGGAAGAGAGATGGGGGTGCATCTGTGCGTGGCACACCTGGGACCTCCTGAATGCTAGGAACCGTGCTCTGTGTCTGCAAGGAGCAGAGTGCCACTGGCTCTCAAAGGAAGAGGAAATGGTCGTCTTTAAAAAAAAAACAAAAAGTGGTGGTTTTATTTTAGAAAGCCATGTTGAAACAACAGAAGACTCCACAGCAGGGAGGTTTGTTCTGCCAGATCTGTGCTCTGCACATTAGATCACAAGGCTGCCTCGCAATAACCCACTGAGAAACCATGTCTATCTCTCAGCATGGGCCTGGTGGGAGGCTACAAACGGTTCTCGAGATTTTTGACTCAGCAAGTGAGGACAGGTGCTCTGAAAAGAGGCTCAATAGCTTCAGTTGTTGATGAGCCTGGCTAACATTCTCCCTAGAGTCAGGTCTTCATCATCTGTTTAAGTTTATAGCTAGGAGAGTTGCATCTGGGTCCCTGGACATGCGGGTGGATTGTGTGGAATCTTGCTTATTATAATTTGAGTAGATGGTTTCTGGTATTTCTCTCTATACGAGACTTTCTACTTCAGGTTTTTACATATTGAATAGTTCACCCTTACACACGATTGTTTCTCATCCAGGTCTCTGTTCTTGGTTTGTCACTTGAAGGTGGTCTTTTAGGAAATCTATCCATCTTTCCTAGTTTTTGATGGCTTTATTTACAGGCGTATCTCAGTGTCTGATAACTTATTGTCACTATCACTACTTATCTTCAGTGTAGCCTTATCACTAAGTGATAAGTGAATTCCAGAGATGTAGCTCAGATAGTGTATCCAAAGTACAGTAAAGTGCAATCTTTACAAGTAAGGGAGGAATAACGAATCTGAGCAAATTTAACTGGTCCCACTTTCCTGTGATCCTGCAGATAAAACTGTAAGTGTCCCAGAGGCTGACGGGCTGAATCGCTGGTGTTTCAGGCTTTCAGTGGTGTGTTTTACCATCACCTCCAGTGGCCATTCTGATTGAGATGCTGCAGGAGAGTGCGGATGTGTGAACACTCTCTACCTCTGACTCTAACACTCTGCATGTGCTGGCCCACCAGAGTTTTCCTCCACATCAAGGCAGACGGGTTGCTCTTCTATGCAGACGGTGAGGTTTCTTCTACTTCTAAGTCAGAAATGTTCACAACAACAAGGTGGAAAGGGTCCATTCAGGGCAATTTTAGAGGCCTTGGGGATCTCGGGTGGAAGGTGGTTAAATATGTCAACTCTTTAAAGAGACGTTATTTTATTTAGCAGCCTGGATGGCAACAGCTTCTTTGAAATGGAAAAATAGTCAGCGGCTTTGTTTACTTTGAGTGTGCTCCTCTCTCTTTTCCCCGTCCACTCGCAGGGAACCAGAGTCTGTCAGCTCTTGCATTGGATCATCAGCCAGCTGTGCACTGGGCAGAGAAGGATCTGTAATAATCCCCCCACTCTGTTCACATCCTTCTGATGGCTTTGAGCTGGGGCTCTGTGTGTGTGTTTTGTGTTTCTCGCTAGTAACAGCCACTGGCTGTGCCTTCCAACCAGAGCCACCCGAATGGTAGAACAAAACAGCACTCTAACCCATCTGCCCATAGTCAGCTGCCCTTCCCCAGAGGTCTTTAAACCCTAGGAATCATTTCAGTTCTTTTGTTTAAAAACAAATAATGCACAGTTGTGTTCTTCTCGATATATGATCGTCCTGCTGAATTCTGAGTTCATGCTATGGTGTGGCTTTACAGTTTGTCCATCACAGCTTGCATGTGGTTTTACAGTGGAATATTTGTGGGAGAGTATGGCTTGGAACACATTTTGACAGGGAAAATAGTAAAAACTAGCACAAGAGGATTGTGGGGGTTAAACTAAAACTAGCAATTCAGTGCTTGTAAAGGTAACAAAGTGGCTCATTTGCAAGCAGTATAACATGTCCAGAACTGCTCCCGGATTCATAGTGTTCATGCAGCTCCAATCCTCACTCTCCCCTTGACCACGTTACAGAATGGGATGGCTAGGACACCAAGAGTAATATAGGGATTCAAACCAGTTGACCCATACGTGCACTTTTGTTTTCTACACTGCAGGCTTCAGATTCTGTTTATTGTATATTATTATTTGCTTAGCAGATACCCTTATCTAATCTGTACTTAGAGATATAATTAAGTGTAAGACCAAGGGAAATAATTTGCAAGTACAGAAAAATAAAATATTTTATAAGTCTTCTTGTAAAACACGAAGCTTGAAGTGCAGTGCAAGTGCTGCACAACACACACAAGAAACTAAAAGTGTTCAGGCAGTGTGGATACAGAGCACTGAGGATGTTTACAGCCAGTATGATTTGCAGGTTACATTACCAGTTTGAGCATTTGTAACATCAGTGAGGAAGAGAGGGAGGTGGAGGCAAGTGAAAAGAGATGGAGAGTTGAGGCAAGCAAGAAGGAAAAGGAGGACAGACCTTGGGATATTGATCTTAGGATGAATAGAATGCATCCCAGAGGCATTATAGGATAAGGATAGTCTTAGCACTTATGTGACACTGAACCACAGATCTGTTTTTGTGGGAAAATGGGTGGGAGTTAAAGAAGCTGGTGTCCTGTCTTGAGAAGGAAAGTCTAGGTTTTAGTCACGAAGCTCCTTTCTTGGGCTCATTTTTCTCTGTGGAACAGAGCCATGGTAATACTAATAATAATAGTTGCTTACACTTATATAGCGCTTTCCTGGGCACTCCACTCAAAGCGCTTTACAGGTAATGGGGATCCCCTCCACCACCACCAATGTGCAGCATCCACCTGGATGAATTGACGGCAGCCACAGTGCGCCAGAACCCTCACCACACAGCTATCAATGGGGAGGAGAGCAGTGTAATGAAGCCAATTCATAGATGGGGATTATTAGGAGGTCATGATTGATAAAGGCCAATGGGAAATGTGGCCAGGACGCCGGGGTTACACCCCTACTCTTTTTGAGAAACACCCTGGGATTTTTAATGACCACAGAGAGTCAGGACCTCGGTTTTACGTCTCATCCGAAGGACGGCGCCTGTTTACAGTATAGTGTCCCAGTAGCAGTGGTACTTATCTGTTCTGTGTGTGCACCGGTTATTCAAGTGAACACGACCAAGGTCTTACAACATTTTGTAGATGGATGTGTGAACTAAGTGGTGAACGCTTTGAAAACAAGTCAGGACATTGCTGTGCAAGAAATTTGATTGAATGAGATACAGCACTTCAGTGTTATGGCTGACAACATATCTTCCTTATAATGGTCTCTTGTTACAGCCTGTCCATTTTCCATCATTTGAAACCAATTTTAATTTCTTAGTTTGAATATTAGTCTCTAAACCCTTCTTCTGTTTTCTATCCCTTTTTCTGTAAACAGCATGAAGTTCTTTAGAGAATATTTTCACTCGTCTTTGTCCTCTTTTACCTCAAAGGTGTTT